AAAAAAAAAAAAAAAAAAAAAAAGAGCCTTTCTCGTCGGCCGCGAGAGAGCCGTCTTCGAGAAGGAGCACCTCGGGACGGAAGGAACGGAGCAGATTGCTCGCTTGTGCGAAGGGAGAGAGACGCGATAGTCGCTTCTCGTTTCGCGCACGCGACGGGAAGTACGCGAATGTTTCTCTGTGGGAACAATCCGTTCCGTGGCGGTTGCAGCGATAACATTAATTAACGACCGGTCAGCCGGATCGGCGAAGAATACGCCCTTGGGAGATATTGTTGTGAGGCGAGCAGTGTTAACCAACTGTACACAATTGATAATGAGATTGAAGGTTATCAGCGACCGGGAGATATCGGAGCAGCCGACTCTTACTAATTAGTAAGTGGTTGATCATCACTCGGTTTGTGCTCGGATTGACTTGTCTGTCAACGACGACAGATAGTAGATAGTATCGAGACAGCACAGCAGCGATATATCGGGATACACATAGACACACACACATGTGCGTGCCGATCCCCGATCTCTTGGTTGTCGCTGAGAAAATTTAAAAATAAATTATGCATCGTGCATACATACATACATACATACATACGTACATATATCAAGTAAAAGGAGGTGAATTTTTATCGTATTAATTAAACAGTAGGATTAGATCCTATTTTTAATATTCCAAAATCGTTTGTGGAAATAAGCAAAGGCGTGTCAACAGATATCCAATATGGGGAGTATCGTTTATACATAAATATAAGTGAAATAATTGTTTAATATAGCGCAATGTAATTCGATCTGACGACACGGCTCAGAGAGCCCGGCCGGCGTTGCTTCGCCGTGTAATCGCATTAACGTAATGATCCCGTGTCACGTGTTGCGTGATCGTAGCGGCCCATTTCGAAATATTCCCTACGAGGTGCGCACGAGGGGAGACACGTCGCTCTCGACGTGCTGTTTCCTTTCTTTTCTTTTCTCTTTTCCACCCGCGAGCCCAAACGATCTACGCGCCTGACGAGCGATCGTGACGCGATCGGCTAGAAAACCCTTTTTCGAGTGACGAAACAAAAGATAAAGAGAGAGAGAAAGAAAGGGAGAACGATGAGAAAGAGAGGAAAGGGAGAACGGTTATCTCTCGTACGAGAGAAGGAGATTAACTCGAACGCGCTGGGAAGATGTTTGTTAGTTTCCTTGCGATATCTTTAAACTCCCCCTCCCCCTCTTTGTTATCGGCAGAATTTGTCTCACTGCCATTAGGAGAATGTTACACTTCGATTTCGTCGTTCGTGACCGTGAGAGAGAGAGAGAGAAAGAGAGAGAAAGAGTCCTCGTAATCCTCATCATCATCGTCGTCGTCGTTGCACCACGCGAGATGTAAACGATCGTTGTTATGGATGAATTTCGTGTATGACGTTGCGGAAGAGGATGAGAATGAGGAGGATGATGAGGATGATGAGGATGAGGAGGACGAAGACGTGCCGAGCGGTCCGTCCTCGACGGAGTCGGTCCGTAGGCCTGAGAAGGAGAAAACGAGATCGTTTCTCTTCTTCTCCGTAGACTCGCGGCCGCGCGCGGCGTACATTGTAATTACAATAATTACTTTCTTTGTTGAGCGGAAGAATATATAGAAATGTACATTGTCATTATTATTTTCTACGAATTAAGGAATCATAATAAATGAGTCGCATAAACGTAATCCACGCCGTCAACTCTTCTGAGCTCCTGCTTTCTTCCGTTTCGTTTGCGGACGATTCGTTCGATAATGAGAGAAGCGTAAGACGATCGTGCTGCTCGTAAAATGCGGCTTCACATCGGCTCGTTCGGGAGAGACCCGATCCTCTTACGTGAATTATCAGTGAAACAAGGGAAAAAAGAAAGAGAGAGAGAAACGCGCGGAAGAAGGTGGCCGATGTGAGAAGTAGGTGAATCGAAATCACTATTATATATATACGGGGACTTTCCGTTCGGGCGTCCAATCTCCCGAATCGGGAAATGGCTTCGATACACACTCTTAATTCGTTGCAGTTCGTCTATCTTTTTGTACGAAGTAGAGCGGTTTCTCACTCGTCTCTCGTCGCGTTGCGCGCGGGAAATTGAATGGACAGGAAAGAAAAGGCACCGAATAAACAGAGGAGGAGTTCAATCGTTTGATTCGATCTTAATGAAGGACTTCCGAAATTGCGAATTCACTTGAGCCTTGTGACATCTACGAAACATCTCTCGATTCTTTTTTTTCGTGCGCGAATGCGCTTTTTTCGCAGGCGCTCTCCCTCGAATTTGATGAAGTCGCGTGTTTCATGAGCGACGCATTTGGTCCGCTCCTTCGCTATCGAGCAAATTCGAGTCGACGGCCTCCTCGGCGCACACATACAAGAACACACACGCACACACATACATACAGTCGGGCAATGCAGATTATATAAATAAAACGGGCC